GTCTCGTTCCCTTCCCCATATTGTCGGGAACTGTGTCGAACTTCGGGCCCGGGGGTCCCCCAGGTTCTTTTGTGCTCTGAGGGGGATGACAGCCTGAAACAAGTGGTTCCTGCAGCCTATCACAAGTTCCTTGACGTGTTCAGTGAACGGGGAGCAGATGCTCTACCCCCCCACCGCCCATATGACTGTCCAATTGATCTGTTGCCCGGTTCTGAAATCCCGTTCGGACGAATTTTTCCCCTTTCTGAGCTGGAATTAGGGGCCCTGAAGGACTATATTGAGGATAGCCTCCGTAAGGGATTCATCCGTCCCTCCACTTCCCCAGCAGGTGCAGGGATCTTCTTTGTAGAAAAGAAGGACAAGACTTTGAGGCCATGCATTGACTATCGGGAGCTGAATAGGGTCACCATTAAAAATCGTTACCCATTACCTCTGGTACCTGAATTGTTCCAGAGCTTAAAGGCTGCGGTAGTATTTACCAAGTTGGACTTAAGGGGAGCCTACAATTTGGTTCGCATAAGGGAGGGGGATGAGTGGAAGACGGCCTTCCGCACCCGATTCGGCCATTTTGAATACCTGGTCATGCCTTTCGGGTTATGCAATGCGCCAGCCACCTTCCAGCACTTTGTAAACGACATCTTTAGGGACTTCCTGGACATCTTTGTCATCGTCTACTTAGACGACATTTTGATTTTCTCATCCTCCCTGGGGGAGCACAGGGTACATGTAACAAAGGTGTTGGGGCGGTTGCGGCAGCACGGGTTGTACGCTAAAGCAGAGAAATGCTGCTTTGAACAGGCTAGCGTTACATTCCTGGGTCTGATTATCTCCACCACGGGGGTCGCAATGGACCCTCAGAAGGTCTCAGCGATCCTAGATTGGCCTGAACCCACGGACAGGAAAAGTGTCCAACGTTTTATTGGGTTCGCAAATTTCTACCGGAAGTTCATCAAGAACTTCTCGGGTCTGGTCTCCCCTATCACTCAATTAACTAAGCTTGGGACGCGATTCAGATGGACGCCCGAGGCACAGGAAGCCTTTGAGGCACTAAAAAGGTTATTTACCTCGGCACCCATTCTGGGTCATCCCGACGCCTTCCTGCCCTACATCTTAGAAGTAGATGCATCTGAAAACGCGGTTGGCTCCATCCTTTCCCAGCGGAAGGGCGCCAAGGAATTACTTCACCCAGTAGCATTCTTTTCACGGAAACTTACCCCGGCGGAGAGGAACTACGACATTGGGGATCGCGAGCTACTGGCTATCAAAACCGCTTTAGAGGAATGGAGGTACCTGCTGGAAGGTGCCTCCCATCCCATCCTGATATTCACGGACCACAAGAACCTGGAATATCTGAGGACGGCCAAACGTCTACGCCCACGACAAGCAAGATGGGCATTGTTTTTCTCGAGGTTCCAGTTCCACATCACATACAGGCCCGGCTCGAAAAACACGAAGCCTGACGCATTATCGCGCATGTATGAGGACACCAAGGAGATCCCAGTGCCCGACACTATTCTTCCGGCAGGGAATTTCTTGGCCCTTCAGACAAACCTTCGCTCCGAGATCCTGAGGGCGTCCACAGCAATGTCTACCTCCGATGGGGCCCCCCTCCAGAACAAGGGAGGGACTCCTATGGAGGGAGGACCGGATTGTGGTGCCAGAGGATGCCCGAACCTTAGTCTTGGGACATTGCCATGACCACCCACTGGCAGGACATTTTGGACCGGTCAAGACCCTGGAACTTCTCCGGCGTTCCTTCTGGTGGCCGGACATGGCCAAGGATTGTAAGATCTACGTGGGCTCCTGTGCCATCTGCCAGCGGAACAAGCCTTCAAGGAACAAGGCATGGGGCCTGCTACGTCCATTGCCCATCCCTGAACGGCCCTGGCAGAGAATCTCCATGGACTTCATAGTCGAGCTCCCTCCTTCGCTGGATCACACAGCAATCCTCGTGGTTGTGGACCGCTTATCCAAGATGGCCCATTTCATCCCTTTACGGAAGACTCCATCTGCAGCCGAGACGGCACAAGTCTTTATTCGAGAGATCGTTAGACTGCATGGGGTTCCCGAAGACATCGTCTCGGACCGAGGGGTGCAGTTTACCTCGCGGTTTTGGAGGGCGCTGTGCAAAGCCCTGGATATCAAGCTGTCTCTTTCCTCGGCATTTCACCCTCAGACCAATGGCCAGACCGAGAGGACCAATCAGACCCTGGAGCAATACCTGCGATGCTACACATCATTCTCTCAGGACGACTGGGCGCCACTCCTCCCTTTGGCAGAATTCGCGTACAACAACGCTTGCCATTCAGCAACTGGGCAGTCCCCGTTCTTCGCCAACTATGGGTTTCATCCGGTCTTCCTCCCGGACTTGGTCCCGGAATGCCCGATTCCAGCGACGCAGGATGCACTGACCTTCTTCACCTCCAACAATAAGAAATTACAGGAAGCCATTCGTCAAGCCCAAGAAGACTATAAGAAGGCTTTCAATAGGAAGCGAAGAGGGAACCTGGTGTTGCAGCCCGGAGAGAAGGTTTGGCTGGCTACGTCAAACTTGAGGATGCTTTGCCCGTCGAAGAAGTTGGGACCTAAATTCATAGGCCCTTTTTGCATCAAACGGATGGTCAATGAGGTGGCCTATGAACTTGTTCTCCCTGACACACTCAAGATCCACCCTGTCTTCCACGTGTCCCTGTTGAAACCGGTAGTCCCTGATGCCTTCCCGGAACGGGAATCCAGGCCCCCGGAGGCCGTAACGGTTGAAGAGGAAGAGGAATTTGAGGTGGAGGCAATCTTGAAGTGCCGTCGAAGGGGGGGCCAGACCCAATTTCTCATCAAGTGGAAGGGCTACGGCCCTGAGGACAATTCGTGGGAACCAGCCCATAATGTCCATGCACCTAGGCTTGTCCGGAGGTTTCTTTGTGATCACCCGTGGTGGAGAGATCGGGTGGGCATCCGGAGGTTGCCCGTAGGGGGGGGGCAATGTCAGGGATCCCCGCGATCCGTCCCTCGATGGTCCCGGCGCAGGCGCACTGCTCCTCCCAGTACACGGGCACTAGGTCCGGGCCGGCCGCGGCGTTCGAGTTCGCGCATGCGCAGTAGAAGCCGCGGCCGCCCGCTGGGCACCAATGGCAGCGCAGGGCGGGATATTTAAAGGTCCCTGAGCTGTCATTTCGTTGCCTTCTGGTCTTACCTGCATTCCTGATCCTGTGAACCTGTATACTGTAAGTTATTGACCCGGATTGCTCTTGACCTTGCTGATTTCTCCTGCCCAGACCCTTGCTTGCCTGACCTCTCTCCCTGGATGCCCCTCTGTAGATCTGACCTCCTGTTGCTGACCTGGCGTGTGACCCGACGATTCTCTGCCTGCTCCTCCCTTGTACCTTACCGTCCTCTACATTACCGACTCGGCCTGTCTGACTACGCACTTGCTCAGCCATCCATCCATCCATCCCATTAGGGTCACCCGACCTCCTCACATTTGGCTCTCCTGGTTGGAACCCCTGGCGGACACCCCTACCACTGACAGGTGTGCTCAGTAGAGGCGACCTGGTCTCAGGGTACTACAAGTCCATCCCCACCATCAGGGGCCCTGGTGAACAAGTACCCTGGGCTTAGATTCCGCGCTCTGGGCACGCCTGACCGGTGGAGTGCTAGTGGTGCCGCTCGGCGGTCCCTCACAGTGTCTCATGGGTCCCTGTACCGCCTCCCATTGCTGCTGTCTCCATCGCCACACTCTGCCATGTGCTACTTTCAGGTCTCCTCACACTCCTGCTGGGTTCCATTTTGTCATAGGATGCTGGCAGATTACAGGCCTCCCATAGCTGCTGCCAGGCCCCTAATCTGCCATGGGCCCCTGTACCGCCTCCTCATGCTGCTGCCAGGTCCACAGTGTCTCATGGGTCCCTGTACGGCCTCCCATTGCTGCTGTCTCCATCGCCACACTCTGCCATGTGCCACTGTCAGGTCTCCTCACACTCCTGCTGGGTTCCATTTTGTCATAGGTTGCTGGCAGATTACGGGCGTCTCCCATAGCTGCTGCCAGGCTCCTAATCTGCCATGGGCCCCTGTACCGCCTCCTCAAGCTGCTGCCAGGTCCACAGTGTCTCATGGGTCCCTGTACGGCCTCCCATTGCTGCTGTCTCCATCGCCACACTCTGCCATGTGCCACTTTCAGGTCTCCTCACACTCCTGCTGGGTTCCATTTTGTCATAGGATGCTGGCAGATTACAGGCCTCCCATAGCTGCTGCCAGGCCCCTAATTTGCCATGGGCCCCTGTACAGCCTCCTCATGCTGCTGCCAGGTCCACAGTGTCTCATGGGTCCCTGTACCGCCTCCCATTGCTGCTGTCTCCATCGCCACACTCTGCCATGTGCCACTTTCAGGTCTCCTCACACTCCTGCTGGGTTCCATTTTGTCATAGGATGCTGGCAGATTACGGGCGTCTCCCATAGCTGCTGCCAGGCCCCTAATCTGCCATGGGCCCCTGTACCGCCTCCTCATGCAGCTGCCAGGTCCACAGTGTCTCATGGGTCCCTGTTCGGCCTCCCATTGCTGCTGTCTCCATCGCCACACTCTGCCATGTGCCACTTTCAGGTCTCCTCACACTGCTTCTGGGTTCCATTTTGTCATAGGTTGCTGGCAGATTACGGGCGTCTCCCATAGCTGCTGCCAGGCCCCTAATCTGCCATGGGCCCCTGTACCGCCTCCTCATGCTGCTGCCAGGTCCACAGTGTCTCATGGGTCCCTGTACCGCCTCCCATTGCTGCTGTCTCCATCGCCACACTCTGCCATGTGCCACTTTCAGGTCTCCTCACACTCCTGCTGGGTTGCATTTTGTCATAGGTTGCTGGCAGATTATGGGCGTCTCCAAAAGCTGCTGCCAGGCCCCTAATCTGCCATGGGCCCCTGTACCGCCTCTCATGCTGCTGCCAGGTCCACAGTGTCTCATGGGTCCCTGTACGGCCTCCCATTGCTGCTGTCTCCATCGCCACACTCTGCCATGTGCCACTTTCAGGTCTCCTCACACTGCTGGTGTGTTCCATTTTGTCATAGGGTGCTGGCAGATTACAGGCCTCCCATAGCTGCTGCCAGGCCCCTAATCTGCCATGGGCCCCTGTACCGCCTCCTCATGCTGCTGCCAGGTCCACAGTGTGTCATGCCATGTGCCACTTTCAGGTCTTCTCACACTGCTGCTGTGTTCCATTTTGTGATAGGATGCTGGCAGATTACGGGCCTCCCATTGCTGCGGCCAGGCCCCTAATCTGCCATGGGCCCCTTTTACCGCCTCCTCACGCTGCTGCCAGGTCCACAGTGTCTCATGGGTCCCTGTACGGCCCCCCATTGCTGCTGTCTCCAACGCCACACTCTGCCATGTGCCACTTTCAGGTCTCCTCACCTCACACTGCTGCTGGGTTCCATTTTGTCATAGGATGCTGGCAGATTACGGGCCTCACATTGCTGAGGCCAGGCCCCTAATCTGCCATGGGCCCCTGTACCGCCTCCTCACGCTGCTGCCAGGTCCACAGTGTGTCATGGGTCCCTGTACGGCCTCCCATTGCTGCTGTCTCCATCGCCACACTCTGCCATGTGCCACTTTCAGGTCTCCTCACACTGCTGGTGGGTTCCATTTTGTCATAGGGTGCTGTATGGCCTCCCATTGCTGCTGCCAGGCCCCTAATCTGCCATGGGCCCCCGTACCGCCTCCTCATGCTGCTGCCAGGCCCGTAATCTGTCATGGGCCCCTGTACTGCCTCCTCATGCTGCTGCCAGGTCCAGAGTGTGTCATGGGTCCCTGTACGGCCTCCCATTACAGCTGTCTCCATCGCCACACTCTGCCATGTGCCACTTTCAGGTCTCCTCACACTGCTGGTGGGTTCCATTTTGTCATAGGGTGCTGTATGGCCTCCCATTACTGCTTCCAGGCCCCTAATCTGCCATGGGCCCCCGTACCGCCTCCTCATGCTGCTGCCAGGCCCGTAATCTGTCATGGGCCCCTGTACCGCCTCCTCATGCTGCTGCCAGGTCCAGAGTGTGTCATGGGTCCCTGTACGGCCTCCCATTGCTGCTGTCTCCATCGCCACACTCTGCCATGTGCCACTTTCAGGTCTCCTCACACTGCTGGTGGGTTCCATTTTGTCATAGGGTGCTGTATGGCCTCCCATTGCTGCTGCCTCCACCGCCACACTGTGGCTCCACACTCTGGTTTTGGCCCCGTGACTGCCCAAATGAGTGAAGTGTGCGGTGATTCTAAGATCGACGGCACTCATCTTCATGTCATACTGACTGACAGTATTATTTCTTTTCCCCAGCAGACTCCAAGGGCATTTAAATTAAAGGTACAGTGTTCTGCACTAATATAAAGGCTCTCTGAAGCCTAGAAACACCCTTTTATAAGTTAAATTCACAGCGAAAATATTTGACTCGAATCAAATTTTTTTCACGAATTCGCCGAATCAGTCAAATCGAATTTTTGAATACTTCGCTCATCTCTAATCATCATGAATATAAAGGGATAAAAATTTATGGAGGCGTAGTGCCAAAACTTTAGTAAGGATCTTGAGATCACAATTAATTAAGGAGATAAGATGATAATTAGAGATTACAGTAGCATCTTTATTGGGTTTAGGAATGACACTGATGAATGCTTTATTTTCATTGGGAGGCACCACTCCCCCATCTCGTAAATAATTAAAATAGTGGGCCATATGTGGAATCTGGAGGTCAGGGAAAACTTTATAATAAACATGAGGAAGGTCGTCCAGTCCTGGGGACTTGGACCATGAGGAGCGAGGGTTTTCAAGGCATTCTGAATTTCCTTACAGGTAATAGGCTGTTCCATTAGGTTTCTATGGACCTCTTGAAGAGAAAGAAGAATAACAGAGCTCAGTAAATTGTCGGAAGATGAAGAGACGTCCCCCTGAGGTGAACAGTATAGAAAGAGTGAAACTTATGAAGAATCTTACTGGGATCTTGAGACAGAGTACCGTTATTTAGTCTGATTTTGGGGAGAGCCACTTGAGAGTGTTTAGGAGATAGCTTATGCACTAATAGAGTGCCCGGCCTGTCTCTCCAGGTGAAAAATTTATGGTTGGACCATTGTAACTGCTTATCGGCGGTGGTAGTAAGGCATAGGTTCAGTTCCAACCGGGCTTTATCAAGTTTAATAAGTCCGGATCGGGATTCTGTTTGGGTTGAGTAACAAAGTCAGTGTATACTTATGTTTTAGTTAAGATTAAGTCATTGCAAGCTTTTTTAAGTCTTGAGGAAAATTGAATAATAAACCCCCTGACTGAGTCCTTAGGGGCCGCCCAATTAATAGCCGGAGTCGTATCATCTGCCTTATTGATTTCAAAATACATTTTCAAATGTGTAGAAATATCCTGACAATAAGAAGTGTTGCCCAAGATAGATTCGTTAAGATGCCAATGAGGAGCAGTCCTCCCATGAGTCCAGAACGAGTGTTAAATGAACCGGATCATGGTCGGATCAAGGTGTGGAAAGAATTTTAACTGTATGTATGCAAGTATGGAGGAATATGAGATCAATACGGGAAAAGCAATTATGAACCCTAGAGAAATAAGAATAATCTCAAGAAGTCGGGTTAGCTTCCCTCCAGGCATCGATAAGATCGTAGGGATATAGAAGCTGGGCAAACTTACGGCTCTGTCTAGAAGGGGACTGAAGCATGGCGGCTCGGGAATGATCCAATATCTAATCTAATGCTAGGTTAGAATCACCAGCCAAAATAACATCACCCTCAAACTCTGAGGCCAAGGAGCTTATTAAGGAATGAAGAAATAACAGTCCATGGGCTGGTCATTGTCTCTGGATGTATCACGTACCTGGTGATGTAGGCCAATGGAGAGAGGGCTTCCCTTGCGGCTAAGTTCCAGACTCCCCTGGATATGGGACAGCAGGAGTTGGGCCCAAAGTAGCACAGGTTGCCTGCAGGAGTGCTGGTCAGAGGTACACCCAGAAGTACAGCTGATGCACTGGAATGGAGTCTGCAGACAGCTGGTGCCTGTGAGAGGAATGCAAGCCTTTAGGGAAACAGAGGACCATAGGATAATCGGCTCAAAGCCAAGGTCAAGTGCCAGGTGAAGATTGGAGCAGATGTAGTCAGTAGAATAGCCAGGGTCATACACAGGAGAGCGGGAGAGAATATCCGTTAGCCAAGCCAGGGTCAGGTCAGGAGTCAGGCAGAGAAGACAGGTCCAAGAGCAAGCCGGGTTGGTAACGGGAAATCACTATAGCAAAGGAACACAGACAATGGTACTGGGAAGCAAGAGATCAACCAGCAACTTGAGGGAGTGATGAGCCTCCTTTATGAAGGCCGTCTGGCAAAAAACTGAGCCAATGCATGCACAACTATCCATTTGTGTTCCAATGCGCATGGATCTTCCCCACTGTGCACTTCTGCGGCCATGCAGGGTACTGGCAGGAGTGCCAAATCTCCTAGAACAGTGGTCGGCAAGCCGCGGCTCGCGAGCCACATGCGGCTCTTTACAAACTTAAATGCGGCTCTTCTGTGTGCGGGGCGCCCGCTCCCCTCCCTCCTCTCGGGCGGCCGCCCCAAAAGTCAGGACTCTGCAGCTGTCAGGATGTAGGCGGGGCAGCCAGGATGTAGGCGGGGCAGCGTGACAAACTCCTCTCCTCTCACAGTTCGCCCTGAAGACCAGAACGGCGAGAAGAACGCGCAGAGCAAAGGTAAGTGAATTGACACAGGGGGGACTTTGGGACTTAATATGGGGGATGAATTAATATGGAGAATGAATTACTATAGGAGGGATGAATTACTATAGGGGGGATGAATTAATATGGGGAATGAATTACTATAGGGGGGATGAATTACTATAGGGGGGATGAATTACTATGGGGGATGAATTACTATGGGGGATGAATTACTATAGGGGGGATGAATTACTATATGGGGGATGAATTACTATGGGGGATGAATTACTATAGGGGGGATGAATTACTATAGGGGGGATGAATTACTATTGGGGATGAATTACTATAGGGGGGATGAATTACTATATGGAGGATGAATTACTATATGGGGGATGAATTACTATGGGGGATGAATTACTATATGGGGGATGAATTACTATGGGGGATGAATTACTATATGGGGGATGAATTACTATATGGGGGATGAATTACTATGGGGGATGAATTACTATATGGGGGATGAATTACTATATGGGGGATGAATTACTATGGGGGATGGATTACTATGGGGAATGAATTACTATATGGGGATGAATTACTATGGGGGATGAATTACTATGGGGGAAGAAATACTATATGGGGGATGTATTTTCAGTTTTAAAAATGTGGCTCTCAAAATAAATTTCAATCGTGGTTTTGGCGAGGTTTGGCTCAGTTGAAAAAAAAGGTTGCCCACCACTGTCCTAGAACTTCTGCTGTGGACAGAACCCTGACAGTGCCCCCCCTAAAGGGCAGCCTCCGGATGCCCACTTGGGCCATCTTTTCTGGATATTTGGAACAGAACTCTTGGGGAAGTCTGGGGGAATGTACATTGCCCTTTGGTTCCCAGGAACTTTCTTCAGGTGGGTACCCCTTCCATTTGATCAAGTATTGGATTTGTCTCCCCCACTTCCTGCAGTCCAGGATTGATTCTACCTCATATTCTTCCTCCTCCCAACTGTTATTGGTGGTGGAGGTGGTTCTACTCTTCCTGGAAATGGAAAAGGAACAGCCGGCTTGAGCAGGGAGATGTGGAAGACTGGATGAATCCTGTATGATTCAGGAAGAGATAGCTCATACACTACTGGATTAATTTCACGTTTGATTTGGAAAGGGCCAATGTACCTTGGTCCCAAAAGGGAGACCATTGGCTGAGACGCATCGCTCCGCACGAGGAAGCCCAAGTGGAACAGTTCCGCCACAACTGGTTGGCAGCGGTGGGATCTTTCCTCATTGCGGAGAAAGTCCAAACCACCAACTGGGACCCCATCTTTTTCATGGAGACGTCCCTGCTTGGCCAGATGGATATATGGGACCTTCGAAAGCCAGCTCTTCAAAGCCTGCTTGTCGCTCGGGGAGGTATCGCTGGCTCCAAGACCAGAGAGGAACTGTTGGATGAGATTATGGCCCTGGACCAAGCGGATGTGCACACCGCTTCACCTGAAGCACACTCTGCTACGCTTGATGCGAAAACTTCTCCACCAGAAGTGAACTCCGCTTCACGGGAGGAGTTGGAGGAACAGAGCAGCTCAACGGCCCCTGAAACGCCAGGTCCGCCTTAACACCGTATGGAGACCCCTATACCACTCAGATTTACAACAAGAGGTGGAGTGGCATTTGGCTCTGTTGGGAAGTCCTCCCACCTCCAAACAGATTTCCAAGGTCCTGGACGATGCCACCCAACTGTGGCTTAGTCACTCCCGGTCATCAACTGAGGGCTCGGTCTGGGAGGGGATTACCTCCCGCCTTCTTCCCAGACTGCATCTGGACCAAAGAAAATTCCCTACAACGCTTATAAAACTTTCTCGGAGGCGGATGGGGACATTGACAGTTTTTTTTCAGGACTTTGAACAGTTGTGCACCATCCATGGTGTGGCAGCCCAAGACTGGGTCCCCATTTTGAGCAGCAAGCTAACCGGTCGAGATGCAGACGCATTCAGGACTGTACCCGACAGTTACTGCTTGGATTATGATTATGTTAAGGAACACTTGCTGGCCCGCTACACTCTCACTCCAGAGGTGAACCGCTTAAAGTTCCGAGCACTCAAGAAGAAACCCCAGGACTCCTTCACTGAATGGGGACATTAGTTACAACACACTGCCCGCAGCTGGGTCCAAGGGTGTCAGATCACCAAGCGGGAGGAACTGTTTCAAACTGCTGTTACTGGAGCAGTTTTACAATGGACTTCCAGGGGATATTAGACATTGGGTCCGGGACAGACACCCCCTAACCTTAGCAGACGCTAGTCGCTGGGCTGATGAGTACCTGGAAAACAGGAGGCTAACCGAGCCTGCCATTCCCCTTGCACCTCGTCCACAACCAGTGGTGCCCACTCTGGTCACCCGAGAATGCCTCAGACCACCTACACCTTCTGACCCAAAGCAGTCTAGCCCGCGCTGTTATGGCTGTAATTAAACAGGGCACATCCGCATTTATTGCCCCCGGAATCCACCAAAGCCCCAGACCAGAAAACCCCCTCGGGGCACTTCCAACCGACCCACCACTTCCTATGGCAGAGCCTTTGCCTACTCCCTACAGGAGCACCCCAGTGACACTGCCTCTTCATGGATGAATTTTACAACTGAGGATGAGGACTTTGGGGTCTTTCACGAGACTAACCCTCTCCAGGATGCCACCCCAGACAATCGC